CGAGAATCCGAGCCTTCCGCTCCAAGAGGCCTCCTGGAGGCTCCAAGAGGCCCCCAAGAGGCCCCAAAGGCGACAAGGGACCCGAAAGAGACCCCAAGAGGCTCGACAACGCCTCCCGAGAGTCTCCAAGAAGCCCTCGAGAGGCATCCAACGAGATCCCAATGAACGTCCACGAAGCCTCAGAGCGCCAAAAAAATTGATTTCCATTTGGTTTTTCAAGGTTTTTGGCTTCCTCGCCTTTTCGCCTTTTTCGACGCTCCAAGGCGGCCCAAGAAGCTTCCAAGACCACCCCAAGACGGCCCAAGAGGCCTCCAAGAGAGGCCCACGACCGTCCAAGAGAGCCCCACCACAGCCCAAGAGGCGCCCAAGACGCTCCAAAAGGACCCCAAGAGGGCCCCAAGAGGGGCCCAACATGGAGACCACGAGCCGAGAATCCGAGCCTTCCGCTCCAAGAGGCCTCCTGGAGGCTCCAAGAGGCCCCCAAGAGGCCCCCAAAAGCGACAAGGGACCCGAAAGAGACCCCAAGAGGCTCGACAACGGCTCCCGAGTCTCCAAGAAGCCCTCGAGAGGCATCCAACGAGATCCCAATGAACGTCCACGAAGCCTCAGAGCGCCCAAACCATTGATTTCCATTTGGTTGTTCAAGGTTTTTGGCTTCCTCGCCTTTTCGCCTTTCCGACGCTCCAAGACGGCCCAAGAAGCTTCCAAGACCACCCCAAGACGGCCCAAGAGGCCTCCAAGAGAGGCCCACGACCGTCCAAGAGAGCCCCACCACAGCCCAAGAGGCGCCCCAGACGGTCCAAAAGGACCCCAAGAGGGCCCCAAGAGAGGCCCAAGATGAAGACCACGAACCGAAAATCCGAGCCTTCCGCTCCAAGAGGCCTCCTGAAGGCTCCAAGAGGCCCCCAAGAGGCCCCCAAAGAATGCTAAAAGGAAACTGCAGAATGTTGTCTTGTTCCCTGCGATCGTATTCACGAGCCGCCACCTTCCGAAACAGAAGGTTCAGGCGGGCAAAGAATGGTTCCCGCCTGCGAAATCACCCAAAGCCAGCCATCCATAAACAAAAAACGACCCATCAACACCCCATTGACAACGATCACACGGCACTCGACAGCCGTGCACCAATACGGGCCGGCGGAATGAGCGAAGCGATTAAAACATTAGTAGCAGGAGCCAATGCCAGCAACACCTAGCAAAGCAAAACAACGCAAGACAGCAACATGCAACCGGTGCAAATTCAGATCAAGCGCGCCAGCTCAATACAACGCAGCGCAACGCACACCAGTGCAGAGCAATGTAACGCTGCTGCACAGCAAAGCAGCGTAGCTGCGCGAAGAGAAAGAAGGATGCCACCGAGGACGTGAACATGGAGAAGGAATTCTCAGATGTCTAGGTATGGATGACAAGTGTAGTCATGAAAGCGTACCTCTGGTAGTCTGCCCCAATGAGGGAGGCCACAGCAACAACGGACACCATCGACGAGTCAGAATCATACAGCATGGACTGGACAAGCACAGCCAGACGAGTTAGGCGGCTAATGTGGAAATCTCTGCTTCAACAACGCGCCTTGGTGGGTCGCCAGGGTGCAGATAGCGGCATTCGGCTATGCGAGACAAGCTCTGGCCACCTGTCGGGGAGGGCGAACACCGAAAAACGAACCAACGTGGGTCCGAACTGTTGAGCGGGGACCGACCATCCCAGCATTCCTGTAATCCTACCACGAAATGTTCTTAGAGCCCCTAAACGGTTCTAAAAACAAGAACAATGTTCTTAGAACATAAACCCGATGTGCTAAAGCCAGACAGTCTCCGCCAGAAATGTTCTAAGAGCATTTCGTGGAAACCACAAAAGGTACTTAGAACATTGCTAGGTGGGGCTGTAGGCGAGCCAGGACGCTTCGCCACTGTCCGAAACTGGCCGCCCTGCCGCGGGCCGAGCAGGAGGTCCGACCGCATCGCCCCCGAACTGGCCAACGGTCGGAAGCGTGCAGCAGCTTCGCTGCGACACTCTGTGGAGGAGGGGGAGGAGGAGGAGGAGGAGGAGGAGGAGGAGGAGGAGGAGGAGGAGGAGGGAGGAGGAGGAGAGGAGGAGGAGGAGGAGGAGGAGGAGGAGGAGGAGGAGGAGGAGGAGGGAGGAGGGAGGGGGAGGAGGAGGAGGAGGAGGAGGGAGGAGGAGGAGGAGGAGGAGGGAGGAGGAGGAGGAGGCGAGGGAGGAGGGGGAGGGAGGAGGAGGAGGAGGAGGAGGAGGAGGAGGAGGAGGAGAGGAGGAGGAGGAGGAGGAGGAGGCCAGGGGGCCAGGCCGGAGGGGGGCCGCGAGGCGTCCCGGCTCAGGGGAGGGCCGCCCCGCACGCGCGCGTGCGCCCCTCGGCGGTGAGGGGGGCGAGGCTGTCCCCCGTGGAGCGGGGAGGGGGGAGGAGGAGGATGGCAGGCTAGGTTCGTTCGCGCCACATCCGGCATCCCAAGCGTCGAACCTCGATGCTCGAGCCCCTTCCACCTCCCTCCCCCCATCCCCTGCCATCCCCTGCCCTTCCATGTGGGCGCAGACGCGACGGAGCTGGCTTGGAGGGCGCGAAGCGGGGGTTCGGGCAAGGCTCCGAAAACAACAGTCCAACCCCATGGCTCCCCACGAGGCCCAGAGGGTCGAGAAGGACATCCTCTCCTCCAACCCAACCCATCCCATGCCATTGCGCAAATGTCTTCGCTGTCCGCGGACGCCTGTCATAGCGAACCTGGACCTCCCAAACAGGGAGAATGAGGAAGCGAGAACGAGGTCACACACACACACACACACACCCTGTGCTGCACAGCGCCTGTCACAGCGAGGATGAGGAAGGATAACGAGGACGAACAGCAGCAGCGGACACTGGAGTGGAAGGAGCAGGAGGAGCAGGATGACAAGGAGAAGGCGGAAGACGTGAAAAGAGGGGGCGAGACCGGCAAGGAACAACTCGGACAATGAAAAATTGCTCGCGCTGGTGCGAGAGGGCCTTTCTGAGCAATCGGGAAAAAGCGTCGATCCGAAAATGAGGCCCAGATTGCAGCGGAAACGCCATTTTGAACCACCGAAAACAATCGGAGTGTCACACACACACACACACGAACACGAACACAAATAAACAACTGATTTTGCCCAATCTGGCGCAACAGCTAAATATGCGCAAATGGCGGGCCATCGTCTGGACAAGGTCAGGGGCGAGAGGACAGTAGTACTCTTAATGACAAGGTATGGATGAGCACGGACCCCCATCGTGCGAGATACAGTTTTCTCTTCGCAAGGGGGGGGAGAAGAACGACGAAGAGGAACAGGAGGAGAGGGAGGAGTAGGACGAGGAGGCAAAACGTGGAGGAGGAGGAAGAGGAGGAGGGGGAGGAGGAGGAGAGGCAGGAGGAGGAGGAGGGAGGAGGGGGAGGAGGAGGAGGCGGAGGCGGAGAAGGAGGAGGAGGTGGAGGGGGAGGGAGGAGGAGGAGGAGGAGGAGGAGGAGGAGGAGGAGGAGGAGGGGGACGAAGAGGAGGAGGAGGAGGAGGACGAGGAGGAGGAGGAGAAGAGGAGGAGAAGGAAGAAGGATATCGAGGAGGAAGAAAACGAATTCGAGGTGGAGGAGGCCGTCGACGACCGGCGAATGCCCAGGGGCCCCCGAGGGCGCCTCCTCGCGGCCCTCCTCCCCGCAGTCCGCATCCCCGATGGCGGAGGATGCCGCCGCGGACTCCTGGTGCACGGGCCGGATCAGCATGCGCCCGTCCTGGGAAAGGAGGGGGACGGATGGCCAGGACCGGACATCCGCATGAGGGGATCAACGTCAATGCCCCCGCGTAGAGCGTCTGCGTAATTGCCCTGCGCGAGTGTCATGCAGCAATGCCTCGACAGCCCTTCGACATCGAGGGAACTGCGGGGTGAAGGAGAGGCAGGGGGAGGGAGGGGCAAGATGGAGGGGGAGGGGGGAGAGAAGGGGGGGAGGAGGGAGGAAGAGGGAGCGGACAAAGGGAGGGCGAGGGAAAGGGGGCGCTGCCCTCAAAGAGCGTCGCCCTGCTGGTTACCGTCGGGGCGTTAACCACAGGAACCCTGAATGAGGAACGAGGCCCCCTTTTTCCCAATATAATAAACTCCGACTCCCATGGAAAACCTCCGGAAAACCTGAGGCAAACTGTAGTATTGAGGGGTCACGAAACAGAACGATCTTCTGCTGGCACAGACCTCTGGCACCGTGATGCCCTCGCAGACGTTCCTCCTGGATCGTTCTGGACAGTCCCCGGGCAGGCCCGAAACGGGCCTCTGGCAGCCCACACGTCTGAAACAAATATGCCTTCGCTATGTTTCACGACGCTGGAGATGTGGCACCGTCCAATCCGGAGACTCCTTGCAGACACCGTCCTGGTTAATTTCTCGAGCTGCGTACTGTGGTCACGAGGGCCTCCCATTCGAAACCCAAAAGCAAAACTTCTCGAACCTCAGGACTTCAAGAGCATTGTTTCTCGGTGGATCGAGGTGTCGCCCAGGCACCTCCTGGGGTGCGCTGCGACGAAAGAACAGTGGGGGGGAATCGAGCCGTGGCGACCAAGAAACCCCTGGAGGCCCAGAAGCGGCAAAGGGTGAATCATAACCGTCATGCGCCGAACGCCTCCGCCGCCCATCCCCTCGGGCGGGTGGCAACGGGGGCCCCCAAAGGGGTCCTTTTCTTCATCCTCCACCTGGGCTGCCCCCCCCCCCCCCCCCCCCATGACCACCCGCCCGACCGAGCGAGAGAAGAGGAGGAGGAGGAGGGAGGAGGAGGAGGAGAGGAAGGAGGAGAGGAAGAGGAGGAGGAGGAGGAGAGGAGGAGGAGGAGGAGGAGGGGAAGGGACGAGGAGGAGGAGGAAGAGAAGGGGAGGAGGAGGAGGAGGAGGAGGAAGATGATGAGGAGGAGGAACAGGAGGAGGAGGAGAAATAGGAAGAGGAGGAGGAGGAGAAGGAGGAGCAAGAGGAGGAGGAAGAGGAGTAAGAGGAGGGGGATGATAATGAGAATGAGGAGGAGGCCAGCGGACTTGTCAGCGGGTGGCCGCTGCTGCTTCGGTGGGCCTCGCCTTGGCGCTGGCGCTGATCCACCCGACCACCGACTCTGGGGGCGCGTCCCGGCCCTCCGGGGCCTCGGGGCTGGGCCGGGGGCAGGAGGGAAGGGACGGGGAGGGAGGGGGCAGAGCAGGAGGGGAAGGTGGGGGGAGGGAGGGGGGGGGCGAGGGAAAAAGGGATGGGGGGGGGGGGGGGGGGGGGGGGAGGGAGGGAGGGAGGGGAGAAGAGTGGAGGGGGAACGGGAGAGGGAGGGGAAAGGAGGAAAAGAGGGGGCGGAAGAGGGGAAGGGGGAGGAGAACAAGAGGGGGGGGGGGGGAGAGCAGAGGGAGGGGGGAGGGATGGGGGGAGGGGGGAAAGGGGCGGGGGGAACGGCAACTTGGCGCGCTCGCGTCATATCTGACGTCCTGACCCTCCCTCCCATCAGTTAACATGGCGTAGATTTCCTCTCTATTCGCACAGTCGGATGTCGTAGGTGAGCATAGCACTACATGGCATAGCATGGTGTTGAAAATCAACGCGTCGCGTGACATAGCATGGCGTGGCGACGCCACAAAATGGGGGGGGCTCCAGCGGTCCAAAAAATCAGCGAACCGACACCGAATGTGTAATCACTTCCGATGTTTTTTTCGAAGGGGGGCCATTCCCTAGTTTTTGGCGCTGGAAAAAAGACTCCAATACTACAGCGGGAGCACGATTCGGAACGAGCGGAAACGCGGAAATGAGGCCAACGCTGCAGCGGGAAAACGATTCGGAACGAACGGTAGCCCGAAAATGAGGCCAGCACTTCAGCGAGAGCAGCATTTTGAAGAAAACCCCAAGCGAAAACCCAGCTCCCGGGAATCATGTGTAAAAGACCAGTGCGCGGAGGGGGGCCGGCCATTTCCCGGACGCCACCAGGGGAGAGAAGAGAGTACACGCCGGTCGGAAAAAAAGTACGTAAAAACATGGGGTGGGAAGGCGGATTCAGTTGATTGGGTCCAGGCCCCCCCCCCCAGAGAATAACACAACGCAGCAAAAGCGTGCCGATTCTTGGCGTAGGAAAGGCGCCTGAAGTAGACTAGGGTCTGGGAATCCAAAAAGACATACTTTTTCCACGGCCGGCGTGTGGTATTCATGTCGTGCTGGCGTGGAGAAGAGGAGGGCGACGGGGCAGAAGCGGGAGGGGGGGAGCAGGACAGGGCACGGGGTGGATGGGGGGGAGGCGGGGAAGAGGGGGGGGGAGGGAACGAGGAGAGGGAGCGGGGAGGGAGGGCGGAAGGAGGAGAAAAGGGGCGGGGGAGGCAGGGGGAAGGAGGGGGGAGGAGAAAAAGGAAGGGGGGGGAAGGTGGGAGGGGGGAGGATGAAAAGAGAAAGGGGGGAGGTGGAAAAAAGAATGACAGGGGAAAGGGGGGGAAGAAACATGCAATCGGGAGAGAGGGAGGAGGGAAGAAGAGGGGGTGGGGGAGGGGTAATGTAGGAGAAAAGGGGGGAATTGGCGGAACGGGAGGCGAGGGACAATGGAGGTAGGGGGGGGGAAAAGAGGTAGGGGGGAGGAGAAGAAGGAAGGGAGTGGGGGGGAGGGGAAAGGGGGAGACGCGGGAAGGGGGGGGGAAAGGGGGGGGAGGGGGAAAACAGCGATGGGGGACGGTGGGGGACACGAGGGGGGAGGGAGAGCGGAGGGATGAGAAGAGGGATGGGAAGGCGGAGGGATGAGAAGAGGGAGGGGAGGGGGGTGAAGGGCGATGGGGGGGGAGCTAGGTGGTTGGGTGCACTCGCGTCATATGTGACGCCCCAGCCCTCCTTCCCATCCCTCACCATGGCGCAACCTCCTTTCTATTCGCACATTCGGCTGTCGAGCAGGGCGATGATCCCGAGAGGGTGCGCGATGCATCGTAGAGCGCAGCATCGCAGGGCGTAGAAGAGCACGGCAAAACGTAGCATGCCAAAGCATGGTTTGGCATTGCGCAAAGAAGCATTGCATCACAAAACGCTGCAACACAAAAGATGGCATCGCACAGCGGCGCAAAACACAATACAACACAACATATCATGGCATGGCGCCGGGTCCCTTGGAGGGTAATTGGCCGTTTTGGAGTCGCGGCTCCATGTCTAGCTCCTTGGGCTCCCCGAGAAACTCCACACAAACCGGGGCTGATGGAGAGCAACGGCTGGCTCTGCTTTTTACATCGCTTTCTCAAAGCAGAAGCGGGGCTCCCACTGTATACTTCTTGAAAACGACGACGCCCAAGGGGACAGGCTTCCGCGGATCAGACAATCTACGAATCGACACCGAATGCAGAATACATTCCGATGGTTTTTCGGGGTGGCGTTTTCTGAAATCTGGGGCCGATTTGGAAAGTCCGAAACCGCCCGCGCTGCAGCGGGAGCGCGAGCACGATTTGGAACGACCAAGGGCGCAAACATGGGACCAGCGCTTCCGTGGAAACAATAAACAATCAAACTGAAACCCAATGTCAGGGAATCCTGCGCGTTAAAGAACCGTGTGCAGAAGGCGCCAAACATCTTCCAAACGTCACCAGTGGAGGGAGGATCATAGTATTCATATCGTGTAGCTGTGGACAGTGGCGAGGGGGGGAGAGGGGAACAAAACGGGGGGAAGGGCTGAGGGAGGAGAAGAAAGGGGTAGGATGAGAAAATCATGGAGGAGGGAGCGGGGTGGAGACGATGGAGCGGGGGGGGGGGGGGTCAGGGTGATGGGGGGGGTCAAGTGGGGGGACGGGGGGTGAATGTGGAAAACGGAGAGGGGGGAAGGGGAGGGGGGGGGAGGGGAATAAGGAAAGGGGCAAAGGCGAAGAGGGGGTGGGAGGGGGGAGGGAGGAGGGGGGAGGAGGAGGAGAGGGAAGAGGGGGGGGGGATGGGGCGAGAAGAAGTGGAGGAGAGGGAACGGGGAGGGGGAAGAAGAAGGAGGGCTGAAAAGGGGGAGGAGTAGGAAAAAACGATCCGGGGATATCACTGGTTAGCGACGCCACGAGGCGCGAAATGTCATGTGCGAGGAAATTAATGACAAGACTTCGGAGATATGGGGTGGGATATGTTTTCAGTGCGCAACAATATGAATACAACAATACATGTGACAGGTGTCTGCACTGCGCGTCCGCGGCACTCGCGGGCGGGGCGCTCCTGCCCTCGATCTGGTCCATCCTAACTCGGGTCTGGTGATTTACGCGCCTGCACCAACGCAAAAAAACAAAGGCGCCCTTGCTGCTGCAAACGCGCACTTGACATCTGCAGCTCGTTGCGTTGCTCGTATATGTATGAAGGGATTTGGTGGCGGCGCTGCGGGCATGAATCAAGGGGCCGATCTAAGCGAAACCATCGAGGTCATCAAGCGCTTATTTGACAATCTAGTTATCTGGAACTGCTGGTCTGCGCGCCCGATTCGGGGGCTCGCTTTCGCTGGGCAACCTGGATCGCCACGCCGACGCAACCCTGGCCTTCGATTGGGCATGGAAACGTAAGCGTGACCGAGAACGCCGCTTGTCCCTGGCAGTGGCGACGCCAATGGCTGCGGCGGCATCCGCTGCGCATTTGACCACGGCGCAATCGCGGTAGGCCGCGGATACCGCGTGCTTGACGAGCAATGTGTCGCCGCACCCCAAGCGATCGTGGACGCCTCGTCTTGGCTCGTCCTGCGTTTACTTGCCGCCAACAAATTCCCAACCATCCTGTGGTGTTGGGTCCTCGTTTTGAAGAGACGTCGCCCCGCGTTCCTTCCTCCTCCTTCCTCCTCCTCCCCTTCCTCCCCCCTCCTCCCCCTCCCACACCCATTCTGGCACACCCCTCACACGTCTCGTGGCCCCATAGGGGGCTCCACCGAAGGCCCCAGTGGCTGCGCCCGCATGCGGTTCCAACCCCCGTTCTGGCACACCCCTCACACGTTTCGTGGCCCCATAGGGAGCTCCACCGAAGGCCCCAGTGGCTGCGCCCGCATGCGGTTCCACCCCCCATTCTGGCACACCCCATCACACGTTTCGTGGCCCCATAGGGAGCTCCACCGAAGGCCCCAGTGGCTGCGCCCGCATGCGGTTCCACCCCCCATTCTGGCACACCCCTCACACGTTTCGTGGCCCCATAGGGAGCTCCACCGAAGGCCCCAGTGGCTGCGCCCGCATGCGGTTCCACCCCCCGTTCTGGCACACCCCTCACACGTTTCGTGGCCCCATAGGGAGCTCCACCGAAGGCCCCAGTGGCTGCGCCCGCATGCGGTTCCACCCCCCATTCTGGCACACCCCTCACCCGTTTCGTGGCCCCATAGGGAGCTCCACCGAAGGCCCCAGTGGCTGCGCCCGCATGCGGTTCCACCCCCCATTCTGGCACACCCCTCACACGTTTCGTGGCCCCATAGGGAGCTCCACCGAAGGCCCCAGTGGCTGCGCCCGCATGCGGTTCCACCCCCCATTCTGGCACACCCCTCACACGTTTCGTGGCCCCATAGGGAGCTCCACCGAAGGCCCCAGTGGCTGCGCCCGCATGCGGTTCCACCCCCCATTCTGGCACACCCCTCACACGTTTCGTGGCCCCATAGGGAGCTCCACCGAAGGCCCCAGTGGCTGCGCCCGCATGCGGTTCCACCCCCCATTCTGGCACACCCCTCACACGTTTCGTGGCCCCATAGGGAGCTCCACCGAAGGCCCCAGTGGCTGCGCCCGCATGCGGTTCCACCCCCCATTCTGGCACACCCCTCACACATTTCGTGGCCCCATAGGGAGCTCCACCGAAGGCCCCAGTGGCTGCGCCCGCATGCGGTTCCACCCCCCATTCTGGCACACCCCTCACACGTTTCGTGGCCCCATAGGGAGCTCCACCGAAGGCCCCAGTGGCTGCGCCCGCATGCGGTTCCACCCCCCATTCTGGCACACCCCTCACACGTTTCGTTTCATGGCCCCAAGGAGCTCCACCGAACGCTCCAGTGGCTGCGCTCGCATGCGGTTCCATCCATTCTGGCACACCCCTCACACGCTTCGTGGCCCCATAGGGAGCTCCACCGAAGGCCCCAGTGGCTGCGCCCGCATGCGGTTCCACCCCCCATTCTGGCACACCCCTCACACGTTTCGTGGCCCCATAGGGAGCTCCACCG